CCCCCCTCCCGGGCCCGCCCCTTCCTTCCGCGGACCCGCCCCTCTCCGGCCATGCCGCGCGCGCCCCGGTGCCGCGCCGTGCGCGCCCTGCTGCGGGGCCACTACCGAGAGGTGTTGTCCTTGGTCTCCTTCCTGCGGCGCCTGGGGCCCCAGGGCCGGCGGCTCGTGCGGCGTGGGGACCCAACGGCCTTCCGCGCGCTGGTGGCCCAGTGCCTGGTGTGCGTGCCCTGGGACGCGCGGCCGCCCCCCGTCGCCCCGTCCTTCCGCCAGGTGGGCTGCCCCGGGAACCCGGCTCGGGCCTGCCGGGGCGGGAGAGGGAGGGCGGCGCGCTCAGGCCCCCGGGGGCCTCGGTCCCCAGGGCTTCAGGACCCGTACCCCCGCAGGTGTCCTGCCTGAAGGAGCTGGTGGCCAGGGTGGTGCAGAGGCTCTGCGAGCGCGGCGCCAGGAACGTGCTGGCTTTCGGCTTCGCCCTGCTAGACGGAGCCCGCGGCGGGCCGCCCGTGGCCTTCACGACCAGCGTGCGCAGCTACCAGCCCAATACGGTAACGGAGACTCTGCGTGGCAGCGGCGCATGGGGGCTGCTGCTGCGCCGCGTGGGCGACGATGTGCTCACCCACCTGCTCACGCGCTGCGCGCTCTACCTGCTGGTGGCCCCGAGCTGCGCCTACCAGGTGTGTGGGCCTCCGCTCTACGACCTCTGCGTCCCCGCCGTGGCTCGGCCCCTCGCGTCCCGCGGCCACAGTCCTGGGACCCGGATGGACCTCAGACCCACGCGCCAGGCCTGGAATTCTGGCGCAAGGCGGCGTCGGGGCAGATCCGGGAACAGTCCGCCTCCGGCCAAGAGGCCCAGGCGCCGCGTGACCCCAGAGCCCGAGCGGGGGACCAACAGGCCTTCTGCCCAGGCCCACCTGGGCGGGGCCCACGGGCCGAGTGACAGCAAACCTGGCGCAGTGACACCTGTCAGGGCCGCTGCGGAAGCTGCCTCGTGGGAGGGAGGGCCCCCTGGGACTCGTCTCTCCTCCCCGGCCGCACAGCCATCTCAGGGGCCCCAGGGAGCACCCCATCACCCAGCGCACCCCGAGACCAAGCATTTCCTCTACTGCTCGGGAGGCAGGGAGCGGCTGCGCCCCTCCTTCCTGCTCAGCGCCCTGCCGCCTAGCCTGACCGGGGCCCGGAAACTCGTGGAGACCATCTTTCTGGGCTCCGAGCCCCGGCGGCCAGGGGCTGCCCGCATGACGCGCCGCCTGCCCGCGCGCTACTGGCGGATGAGGCCCCTGTTCCGGGAGCTGCTTGGGAACCACGCGCGGTGCCCGCATGGTGCGCTTCTCAGGACCCACTGCCCCCTTCGGGCTGCGGCCCCCGGGGAGGCGCCTAGCGACCAGGCGTGCGGAGGAGTGGGCGTGTGCCCTTCGGAGAGGCCCGCGGCAGCCCCCGAGGAGAAGGCGGACCCACGGCGCCTGGTGCAGCTCCTTGGACGGCACAGTAGCCCCTGGCAGGTGTATGCTTTCCTGCGGGCCTGCCTGTGCTGGCTGGTGCCCGCTGCGCTCTGGGGCTCCAGGCACAACCAGCGCCGCTTCTTGAGGAACGTGAAGAAGTTCATCTCTCTGGGAAAGCACGCCAAACTCTCGCTGCAGGAGCTGACGTGGAAGATGCGAGTGCAGGACTGCACCTGGCTGCGCGGGAGCCCAGGTGAGCAGCCCAGGTGAGCAGGTGCCTGGTTGGCCCTGCAGGCCCCTCCCTCCCAACCTTCCCCATGCACCTGGCTTCGGACTTGAGGTGGGGGCTCCATCCTCCACCCCTGATCCCTCACATCCCATTTACATAAAACTTGGAGGCACTGATGGACTCAGGCAGGAGCTGGGGACACGCAGTGAGCAGATGTGGGGACACAGGTCCAGCCACCGGCCACCCTCCCTGCCCTCCCCGGTGGGAAGCAGCAACAAGGACAGACCCTGGGTTTTTGCCATTTGACCTCCCCCAAGCTCCCAAAACATCTGAGACTTCTAGGTGAAAGAAGATTGCAGAGCCCTCTAGTAGAGCCAAGGTTACCACCTGGGATATCCATTTCAGTCTCTGGCGGTGGCGGCTTAAAATATGCCCGGGCTCATCTCCAAAGATCGTGATTATAATGGCCTCGGATGGGGGCCAGGGGCACGCCCTTTCCAGTTCCCCAAGAGGCTCTGGGGCCAGGTGATGGCAGACAGAGGGGCAACCTCCCAGTAACTCGGGTTTGTAAGGTTATTATTATTTTTTTAATTGTGGGGAAACAACATACAGCCTGAGATCCTCCCTTCTAGCAAACGGTTAAGTGTGCAGGAAGCATTGCAGAGTGTAAGCACCGTGTTGCACAGCACACGTCTAGAACTTCGCACCTGCCATGCCTCTACGCCCGTAACCAGCCGCTCCCTTCCCGGTGCCGCAACGTGGCTGAGCTTCCCAGGTTCGCACCGGTGGACAGGATGTTACAGGACCTGCGCTCAGGCTGATGCTCACTTAGTGGAAGGAGTTGAGTTGCGTGACGCTGTCCCCGGCTTCACACGGGGACTGCCATGCCTCTGTGCACTGCACGCAGGAAGGAGCTGCTGCTTTCCCGGGTGACTGGGGCCCAGCCCCTGGACCTCCCTGTGTCCTTGCACACTCGAGCTGTGGCCCTGGCCGTCTGCTCCTTCCCTTGGCCATGGCCATGCCCGTTGCCCATTGGGCTGATTACATGACACTTAGAGACCAAGGCTGTCTAAGCATGGGTCTCGTGGTCACCTTTTCCGCCCTCCCCTGCTGGGACACCCCTTCCCCTGTGCAGACCATCAGTTCGGGCAGGGGCTCGGTCCACAGCACCCGGGCCTTTGCCTCTGGCAAGCCAGCCTCGACCAATGTCCTGCCTGCCACTCTGCCCTCTGACTCCCGTCAGAAACCCGTCCCCATCCCCGGAGGCCAGACTGCTGGGCAGTCCACATCGTCAGCCCGGGGTCACTAGATGTCACAGAATGGATTCCTGATGGAAACTGGGGAGGTGCCCCCCCACGGCCTGTCCCCACGGCCCACGTCGGGCTGGTGGCAGCCCTTATTCCCTCACCCTGGGCACACGTGGCTCTTGCGTGGGCTGTGCTGTCATCTGGTCCCATCGACTTATGTGCGCCCCCACAACGGTCTGAACGGCGGCCCCTTGACCTTCAGAGTGGTGTCTGCTGTCTCAGGAGGGTCCTCAGTGGGCTCTACAGGCCGCGGGTGGGCCTCAGGGCCGTGTCCCCCGTCGTCAGGGTCCCCGGCGTTCCTGCCTGACTTCTCGGGGCTATTGGCCGTGTTTCCCTCTTGGCTCTGTCTTAGCCGCATCCCAGCTCTGCCTGTGTCTGCACGTGTCCAGTTTCAGTCGCTTCTAAGTTTCTAGTTTCTTCTACGCTTTCTGCTTAGATCAGCAAGTCGTTGAGCTGTGTGTGATCTTTCCTACAGACTTGTGACTCGGTTGTGTGGTGGTCTGTGTGCAGGATCCCGGCGGTGTGGGGCTGGGCAGACGTGCGTGTCCCTTGGGCGTCTGCAGGCCTGTGGCCGGTTGCCATGTTCACGCCGTCCGAGACCCCTGTGCCCCTCCTGAGGGCGAGATGCTCAGGGGAGCGCCGTCTTCCTCAAGGGCGGGCTTGTCCCTTCCGTCCTGTTCCGACGGGATTTACCTCAGGTTTTATGAGGTGTGTGCGCATTTTAGAAGTTTTATCTCCCTCATGCCCTGTTGTGCCCGTTACATGAACGTCTGTTCTGGTGCCGCCGAGCGACACGCCAGCTTTCTCCTGGTGGGTGTCGGCGTCCAGCCTTCCCAGAGCCCCGCGGTTGGGGCCCGGCCCAGCAGCGGCTGGTGTTTTATCTTCCGTCCAGTCTGTCGATCTTTGCCACTAACCCAGAGAATCTGACTTCTTTCCTCGACTGCAGACGTGTCTGAAGCCCCTTTCATCTTCCTTCCGGTTTGTCTGCCTTTCCCGTTTCCGGGGTCCCGTGCGCCTCTCCCACTCCACCCTCCTTCCCGGTTTGCCCCCCGGTGGCGGTTAGGAGCTGCTGGCTATGCGGCTCTCAGGGTCCCTTGTCCTGAGCAACATGAGGGCCTGATGCAGTTTCCCACGACCTTGGTTACGCCCCAAGATAGAGGTCATGTTGTGCTCTGTGGTCAGTGTTCTTTGAGCTCTGTCCGCTGCCCTTTTCTTCCCTCCCCCCTCACCATTCTGTCCTCTACCCCAGCCCAGCCTCTGGGTCCCCTTCCTGCTCCTTCACGGTTTCTTCCATGTCTGTTATTCGTGGTGAAGCCCCCGGTTCCGTGTGTGCCGTGGTCTCTGGGGCAGCCTGGTGACACCTTCTCATGACCTTTCCGAGTGCACAGAATAAAATACACAGGGATGCAGAGGACAGTTTTGGGCTGTGGGGCGTGTCCCCAGCCCCGTGTCAGTGCTCGCAGCCCCCTGCTGCCTGTTCCCAGCTGCGCAGCGTCTGGAGGCCCTTAGCTCCTGCGTGGTCCAGCCTGGGAAGCCACAGGCGTTTCTGGATCCCACTGCCCAGTGGTGAGGCGGCTGAGTGGCTGTGTCCCATATGGAGAGCGTGTCTCTGCTTCTCCATCCCGCTTGTAACCCAGGACTGATGACGAAGCCCCAGGCTCTCTGTCCAGTAGAAATATAACGTGACTGCATGTGTAATTTAAATGTTCCGGTAGCCACATTACAAAGTAGGAAAGGAAACGTGAAACTAATAGGGCCCAACACATCCAGAGTGCTCTCACTTCCCGTAATCGGCAGATGCATCGTTAACGGCATGCATCCCTCCTCTGGCTGAGGATCGTGCTCCCTGCACCTCGGTCCCCACCTGCCCGTTTCCAGCGGCCGCTGTGGCTGCGATGGGCAGCTGGGTGGACACTGTGTCTGTACCTTTCCCGTTTCAGGGGCTCGCTGTGTCCCGGCCGCGGAGCACCGTCGGAGAGAGGAGATCCTGGCCAGGTTCCTGTGCTGGTTGATGGGCACGTACGTGGTTGAGCTGCTCAGGTCGTTTTTTTACGTCACGGAAACCACGTTTCAGAAGAACCGGCTCTTCTTCTATCGGAAGAGCGTCTGGAGCCAGTTACAGAGCATAGGAATCAGGTGTCTTGGTCAATGCCGCTCGCTCGTGGTTTTTCCTGTGTGTGCAGATGACAGCCCTGCGTCCTGCCCGCCCAGCCGGCCGCAGGACCCCTGGGGGTCCCACGCTGGGGGTCCCATGCTGGGCACAGACTCCCGGGGCCCCCCTTTGTTTACCTGTGACGTCAGAGTTTGGGCTGCCTGGGGTCCAGGCTCTCGAAAGTGGAAGAAGTTTGTACTGAATGGAACCAACCTCGCAGACAGGTCGTTGGCTTGATCCAGGCATATGGGTCGGATTCTCTTTTAATTCACATGGAATGAGTGGGGCTGTCTCATCAGTGGACGGCGTGCGGGCAGGGTCTGGGGACATGCGTGCTTCGGGAAGCAGGACCCCGAGGCAGTTCCTTCCAGCTTGACTTGCCTGAGTGGCTGCTAGGCTTGTCACAGAGGCTGTTTATGTCCCTCTGAAGGATCGTGCTGAACGCAGGCTGGATCAGGATCCCGTCCGGGATGGTCTGCCAGCCTGAAAGACAAGCTGTGCTTCTCCGCACCCTGGGCTGGCTGACGCGACCAGTGTCCTCACAGGGCTTGGCAAGGCCCCGAAAGTGGCGAGGTCAGGGCTCCTGGGCTGCATCCTGCATTTGGGTCAAACCCGTGCCCTGAGTCAGGACATCTCCTGCAGAGGGAGCTGGACTGGGCCTGTGTCCTCCTGCATCTGGCAGACGGTCTGGGGGCCTTTATCGTAGGTTGAGGTAATAGTGCAGCCTGTTTAATAATTTAAACGTTTCATGGCACCTGATCCAAAGTAGCTCTTGAGACTCCTTGTGGGGCCTGTGGAAGCTGTCGCCTGGCCTGGTGGGCATTTGAGTCCCCAGGGTGGGCTGGGCTTGCATACTGCCCTTCCCTCCTGGGGCCATCAGCCCCTGCCTGTGGGTGGTGTTGGGGGAAAGGCTGCAGGTCATGGGTGACAGGGAGCTGGTGGGTCCATGGAGAGAGGGTTCTGTTCCTCTAGGGGCTGCACCAGTCACCACCTGCCCCGCCCTCCGCCCTTGCCTGAAGGTCCTGGCTGCCCCCACCTGTGCCTCCCAGGGCTCTGTGCTGGAGGGAACCAGGTGTCCTGGCACCTACCGAGGAAGGGTGCTCCTGCAGGTGGCCGGCCATGGCATCCTGGGTTGCTGGGGGCCTGGCTCTGCCAACTTGAGGAGCCCGGCTGTTCTCTGGCAGGCTTACCCGCCCTGGGCTTCTCGCGTACCTGCCGAGCTGCAGCCCACGAGCTTCTCCGTTTCAGACAACACTTCACGCGTGTGCATCTCCGAGAACTGTCAGCAGCAGACGTCCGAAGACACCAGGAAGCCAGAGCGGCTCTCCTGACGTCCAGACTCCGCTTCCTCCCCAAGCCCAGTGGGCTACGGCCAATTGTGAACATGGACTACGTGCTGGGAGCCAGAACGTTCCGCAGAGACAAGAAGGTCAGTGCTGTTGTTTCATTTCTAAGTCAAGTGCATGGAACCCCCAGCTGGGTGTGGAGGTGGACAGGAGGCCAGGAGGAGGGTCTGCAACACGGCAGGCCCACAGGGGGGCAGAGCACCGTTGACGGGGCCGGGTGCCCCAGTATAGACAAGGAGCTCATAGGAAGCCCAGTCCTGCAAGGTGCTAGACGGCCTCTGAGAACCCCGGTTTTCATGACACGGCTGCCCACACCGGGCCCCGGCTTCTGGAGCCGCTGCAGGGGCTCTGTGCGCTCTGGGAGCCGAGCACAGGAAGGACCCGTTATCACCTGCCGCCAGCCTGCTGGGGCTCCAGCGACCCGCAGGACCTTACCTCTGGGATTAGCACCCCCCGAGGACCTCACCCCTGTGATTAGCACCCCCCCATAGGACCTCACCCCTGTGATTAGCACCCACCCCTGCAGGATCTCAGCCCTGTGATTAACAGCCCCCCCCCCCACGGGATCTCACCCCTGTGATTAGCACCCACCCCACAGGACCTCACCCCTGTGATTAGCACCCCCCCCATAGGACCACAACTGTGATTAGCACCCACCCCCCTGCAGGATCTCACCCCTGTGATTAACAGCCTCCCCCCCCGGCAGGATCTCGCCCCTGTGGTTAGCACCGCCCCCCGCAGGACCTCACCCCTGTGATTAGCACCCCCCCCGCAGGACCTCACCCCCATGATTAGCACCCACTCCTGCAGGATCTCACCCCTGTGATTAACAGCCCCCCCGCCGCAGGACCTCGCCCCCGTGGTTAGCACCCACCCCTGCAGGATGTCGCCCCTGTGATTAACACACCGCCCCCCTCAGGATCTCACTCCCGTGGTTAGCACCGCCCCCTGCAGGATCTCACCCCTGTG